AACGTTTCAAAACATTCAATACATTCAATAGAATTCAATAGAACATTCAATAGAATTTATACTGAGCAAGCTTCTCCATTTGGTACTCATCATAAACTGCAAAAGGTACCTGATCTCAATTTTTCTTGTATGCCAAATCAAAATAATGAATGGCTTGTTTATCCGTACAATGAAAGCTAAAATGAAGCTCAGAATCGGTCTCGTTAAACAGGATATGAAAAAGCATATGGCACGTGACGGAAAGCGTAAAATGATCTAGAAACAGGAAATAACTTTCCTGGATGAGTTAGACAACATGAGAGTTTACTTCCCGAAAAGGAAGTTCCTTTGACTTCTTCAGGCATATTGTGCTTGAATCAAAAATTGAAGATATGCTTCCTTCAGAGTTGATGGTGATTTTCAAAATAACATCGAATTCATTTATAAAGTGAAAATGGCATGGTCCTATCGATATATTAAGTTTTAACCAATCTGGTCTCTAAAATATCAAGTTTGAGGTATTTCGCTGCATGCAAAGTTATTAAGAACTAACACATCCCTTTAATATCCTCCTGCTGTGCAATGGATGGTACATTCTTTGAATTAGAGTTCCGAAAGTTTTATTTTTCGGCAGTACCTAATTTTTATTAGGGTTCTTTTATATGATTTCTCCTGAGCTAAAGATGATAAGCGGTAATTTTATCACAAATTAATTAGCCATTGAGATATCTCATAGTTTTCTCTTTAGATCGGGAGAATGTAAGGAATTAAAACTTCTTCCTGTGTATTTATACAGTATCAAGATTTCAAAATCCCGAATTTGATTCCATATAGGAATCTAACTCTTACGTGGAGTTCCTATTTAACTTCGAATCAAGTTTAACAAAAATTCAAACTAAGAAATAATATACATTTCTCAAAAATATTTTAAACTTCAGAACATTGCTACGAGTTTTGTGAGTATGTAAGTAATTTTAGAAACATTACATATAAATCCTAGTACCTCTTGCATGATGTAACAAGAAATACCTCGACAAAGTGAAGCTTCATCGGAAACATAAGATTACAGGGGCAGATCCATTTAACAATGAGGTACACCGCGAAAAAATAATAATAAAAAAAGGGGGTAGTTCAATATCTCCCGTTCTGCTGGGCAGATTGATAAAATTCAACCTGCGTTTTTCATGTTTCGAAAGCGCGACTTAGGATATGCATTAGATTTATATATAGCATTGTTCTGACACACGTATTTTGACATAAAATCGAACTTTTTCTGAAATGACATGTTAATTTTTTTCCATATTTCGGATTCTACGACTCAAATTATGCCTCAATATTAAATTTTGTAAAATTTCGTGCGAAACTTACGTAAAAATTCAAAAATTTATCTTGTCGCCGTTTTTTTTTTTTTTTTTTTTTTTCAGTTTGCACCAAGAATAATTCACTCGGCGAACTTCTTAATATATGACAACCTATTTTCCTTTCCGTTTTTACATTGTGCTTGAGAGGAAAAAAATCCCATCGTACCTACATTCAAACAATTTTAATAAAGTGCCTAAATCACATTTGATGTTATTATCGCTTTCAACAAATATACCAAATTTCAAAACGCGCCAATATATAAATTCACGTATATCTTCGGAAATTTTGAATAAAAAACTCTAATTTTTTGCAGGTATGCATAGACATACATCTACTTTAAGATGATGTTAAAAATTTTATAGATTATTATTTAAAATAGCTTTTGAAAAATGTATAAAACTATTTAAAAATACAAATTTTTAAAAAATCATACATAAAAAATGGACGAATTTTATTTCGAAAGGACCTAAATTTCGAAATGTGAAAGGAAGAATCAAATAAGTTTAATAAAAAAAGAGAAATTAATAAATATATACCAAATTCAATCAACATGAAGGAGCTAAAATTCTTACAGTCAATTTTTGAAAACTGCTCTTGCGATTTTTACAAAACTTGGCACTTTGGCATAATTTGAGTTGTAGAATGGAAATATGGAAAAATACTGCTATTGTTGTATATTGCATATATAGCATTGTTCTAATATAGGTATTTTGACACAAAATCGGACTTTTTCTGAAAGGACATGACATTTTTTTTTTTTTTTTTTTTTTTTTTTTTTAATATTTCAATTCTTCGACTCATATTATGCCAAACTGCCAAGTTTTGTAAAAACCGCACGAGAAGTATTTTAAAAATTAGCTCTTAAAATTTTAGCTCCTCAATGATAATTGAATTTGGTATATTTTAATTAATCTCTTTTATTTTATTAAACCTTTTTGATTTTTCCTTTGACATTTCGAAATTTAGGTTCATTCCAAAAATCCGCCCATTTTCTATGATTTATTTTTAAAATCTGTATTTTTAAATAATTTTTCGAAAAACGTTTTGAATAATAATCTATAAAACTTTTACCATCATCTTAAAGTAGATGTATTGCTAAGCATACCTGCAAAAAAAGTAGAGTTTTTGTTCAAATTTTCTGAAGATATATGTGACTTTATATACTGGCGCGTTTTGAAATTTGACATATTTTTTTATAAGCTATAATGATATGAAATGTGGTTTAGGCACTTTGTTAAAATTCTTTGAAAGTAGGAACGAAGTGACATTTTTCCGCTCAGGCATAATGTAAAAAGGGAAAGGAAAATGGGTTGCCATATATTAAGAAGTTCGCCAAGTGAATTATTCTTGGAGCAAAGAGAAAAAAAATGGGCCAAGATAAAGTTTTGAATTTCTCCGTAAATTGCGCACCAAATTTTGTAAAATTTAATATTTAAACATACTTTAAGTTTTAGAATCGAAATATGGAACAAAATCGGCATGTCATTTCAGAAAGAGTTCCATTTTTTTTTGTCAAAACAAAAGGTAATGAATAACTTCAAATTAAATGAAGTTAATTTAACCTAACGGCATCAAAGGTTAACTATCGCGCAAGCTGGCTCTGACACGAAAAGTCGGCGTAAAACAGAAAAGTCGCAGTAACTAATGGAAAGATTAGCTCAACGCCACAAAATCGAATCTCTAAGAAATCAAAGATAGCAGCATGGCCTTCAGGCATGTAGAACACGCTCTGATTTCATCATACTAACTTCATTCTCCCTCATTTGAATACACACGAACTAGTCGATATGCATTCCGTTAAGAAAGTGTAGATTGAAAGCAAGAACGATAGGAAAGCTACTTATGCATAAAATAACTGTTAAGTAAATTAAATAAACCCGCACAAAGTTTTCAAACTAATGACATTCAGTGATCTTTAAATTTATTAATGAAATATCCTGTTCTTCCTCCTTACGCCACATAAAATTCAGTTGAATAGTAAAATGACAAAATATTTAAAAACAGCATATTTTTAGAGTTTCCGATATACAGTCTCGCGCACTGGAGATAACAATGTCTTAATCCGTACAGTGTTGCCACTACTTGCTTTCAAATCGTTGAGTTTGTTAAAAATGCATTAAATTTTAATAAAATATGAAATATAAAATTCGAAAGTCAAAATCGTGTTTCCAGGTGCACATGTTGGGATGGAAAACTAGGATATTGTTCGGAGAACAGCCTTAACGCCAAAAAAAAGGGGAAAACAGCTGATTATGGTAGACCAGGCTATGGTTGTCATCCGATGACATACTTCCTCTAGGAGGTCAGCGTGATACATTTTCCCTGTTAAGGGATTATCCATAGTAACAGGTTGGGATACGGAAAATGTTGTTGCGTTTGCTGCGTTATTCAAAATTTGTTGGCCTTAGGCCCTAGGTAAATGCATTCATCCAGATTCTTCATTATTTAATTTCTTCAGAAGTAATGTAGGGTAATGATACTTTGTGGCACCAATTTGAAAAGCCAAACCCTTTTCGAGACAAATAGTCCATTTGGGCTAACGACTTTAAAAGTTAATGAAAAAATGCATGGTGCTATAGAAAAGGTTTTTGAAATGAAAAATGTGGGAGAACAAATAGCTATTGAAGGATTACTGTCAATAGATTTCAGCTTTATTTCAAATGTTATTACTCCTTGAAATATAATTTATTAATTGATTTTATTCTTAAAGAAAATATTCCGTTCATGGACGGCAGTGGTTCTCCACCATTTTGGCTGCGTGCATCCCTTTCACCATTGCTAGAAGATCATTCCCCTCCTTCTTTCTTAAAACTTGAAAAATACATACATATATTTATTTAGATTTAGATTATTTTCTAACGTGCTTTATAAATGAAACAACAGACAGTATAGAAAATGTTGATAAACACCAAACCTCGAATAAAAGTAGTTTTTCATATTCATAAATTAAAACTAAATACGTAACAGCTAAATAAAAGGCTGATCGCATCCTCCTGAAACTATGAAATTTCACCTGTGGTTGAAAGCCTTTGAGATAAGGGAATAGTGATACCTACTAAAAATCAGCCAGTCATTTTCAAATTCCACATTTGTTTAAATTTTCATTCATTTTTCAGCTATATAAAAAATGCAGCAAATGATCCATGGACTTCGGGATGGTTACTGTTTATGGGTTTAATCTGGGTTCTATTACTAAGGAATGGTGGTACGTTCAACATTGTTATCATAAATATTTGTTATTATCTTTGCACCCGTGTCAGCCATTCCGATTCTGCCCCCCTTTTCCAATCATCTTGTTCCATTTCTGCTATGCCAATGTCCCATTCTTTTTTTTATAGACATATGATAGACCTGTCAATAGTAGTTTATTTTATGTATTTTTATTGTACATTAATTGTTTTCAACATATTGTTGGGATGAGGAAGCTACTTCTGTAACAGATTATAATAGAATCGACACGTTTCATCCCAGAGCAATCTATTATACCTAAAAAATTCTTAAGGGAAGTCTATTATCTAGAATATAGATTTAATACTAAGAAATACTGGGATTCCACTATACTTTTATTTTTATTTTTAGCCTCAGACGTAGGTGCTAGCGAAGGCTCGCCATGAGGTCATCACCGGAAATTCTCCTTTCAAACAAGACAACTCTACTTTCCTTTTGTGAACTTCAATGTTTTGATTTAGCAGATGTTTGAAGTATAGTTGGCTTTCACGCCCTTTCGAAAGATAATATAAGTAATTTGAATTATCTGAGGTAAAATAAAATGAGTGGAGAAATAGAAATCGCACGTATGAGGAGTCTTGATGATTTCTTATTGGAATCAGCAAGGTTTCAAATTCCTAATTTCAAAGATTTAGATAAATGGTCTAATCGTGTCTGCAACAATTTACTTTATTATCAGACAAATTATTTTTTCATGGCTGTGGTTGTGTTTCTTATTGTTGGGTATGTTAATTTTTGTGAAAAAAAATTAACGTCTTTAATGCTAACTGTTTTTAATAATATTTTTGAGAAAATTTATTATGTTTGTTTGTATCTATTAAAGTAATGAATACATATTTAATCCTAACTTTGTCACATTGTAGAATTAGCTGGAAAGCGTTCTTTAAATTAAGCATGTTTTGTTCTGCTTGCATGAGTTAGCATGATTTAGAAGCTTACACCAGTGCATTTTAGAGTGTGGTAGTATTAATTTTACTGATTGTTATCGAAATATGTTGATCAGATAGTTCTTAGACAGTTTTTTTGGTTGATCTTTACATTATGGTAACTTAGCGTTTTTTTGGCGAAAATTTGGCGACCAATTCTCCTACAGTAACCCTCTATTTTTTTTTCCTGCCGCCATTTTGTCTTCACGAAGTAAAGACATGTTTCTTTTCTTTTTATCTACTGAACACTTCTTCCAACAATCTACTAGCCGAATTACACTTATGCTAGAAATTTTATCTAACAAAACTGCTTAATCATGACAAATATTCACTGCAAAATTGGGAAAAAGTGCACAATACCATACTCCTTACGTGTTTTTCAAAATAACACATACACATAAACCATGTACACGTCGACTTATTTTTACTTAAAAAAACATCCCAGAATTGCACAAAAATGGCATTGCGCACACTCTTCACTATATCCATGTACACAGCTTTTTTCTCATAAATTAGAAAAATTTCACGAAAATACATGACAATTTTCTCAATCTTTAAACCCGGTAAAAAGAACATATATGAAATTACCTGATTGCGAAAAAGTATTTACACTTTCCAAATATGAACATTTCCACATATAAAATAAATAAAATATCCAAAAACTTTTACATCTAAATCATCTATTACATTATACACGTCACCAACGAATTCATACCGCAACCATTACAAATACTTAGTGTCAGATATTTAAATTATTTCCATGCACGTTTACTCAACGAAAACGTATACCAAATTCCTTACAAAACATAAAATTCACAAAAAATAACTATCATTTAATTAAAATATAATTAAATTCAAAAAACACTACTTAAAATAAATGAGCACATACATTAAATTAATACATACAGAAATACCCATTTCGAATTCACTTTAGTTACGGCCATGGGATTCAAAAATTCATGAACACTGTTTCACACCAACAAAAAATAAAGCCAAATACAAAAATTTCCAGCTTTTTTCCCGATTTCCCCCCTTTTCCGATTAAAGAACCGTAATTCGTCCATTAATATCACATGACATATCCCATGATCTCTCATTTCCCTCACACAAAATAATGTGTAATCGGAACTGAGTACTGCTCACATTATTACCAAAGTCCCAGGTAGTAATCTTTATCGCCTCGAAAATGTCGCCAAACTACCAGTTACCATATTGTAAAGATCAACCGTTTTTTTTAATGATCTTTTGTGACCAAATAATAAACAAGGTGTTTAGTGACAGATTGCTGTTGCATTTATTTTATTTGTTACATATGCAGATTGAATTAATTGCCCTGACTCTCACTATCAGGCTTTTCCCAGTGGCTCCTTGTTGTCAAAGGGTGGAATGGCTGTTAGCATAATTACTTAAATACAGAGAAAAAAGAATTTCATTGTGAAGATTATTTTCATAGCGTATTTCTACTGTACTCATTTCTTACTTGTTACATTATCTCTTTGTGATGCAAAATCTCTTAATTATAGCCCATGCAGGTTTACTATATGTTTAAAAGCTTTCAGAAAATATCATGCATACGAATTCGTAAAAAAACACAGCCTTTACTGTATTTTTGCCCTCTGGCTTTAAGTCATTTTTCATCATTTATTTGTTTAATAGAAATGTGTTAATTCTCCCTTTAATTTTATCCTGTTATACAATTTTCGTAATGGTTTTTGCTGATAAGCAAGTTTCATTCCCATTTGTAAGGTTAATATCAGGGAATCAAACAAAACTAAAATTGAAAAGAATGTTGTAATTTAGTTTTGTATTGTCAAGAACTACAGTTAAGTGTTACTGTTAACCCTTTGTGGTGCACTACACTTTAAAGTCAGTATTTCAACAAGAAAAGTTGTATGCAGTCTATCTAGGCCTAAAGGAGTATACAGAATTTTGTAAAACTTGCACTTGCCGTTTCAATTCTATGGGTGTTCCATGAGGTGGAACACTGCACCACCAGAGCTCTTAAAAGTGCGACTAAGCGAGCATTGCAGTGAAGCATGGAAATTAGTAGAAGCTTATGTATAGTAATGAAAAAACAATGTATTAAGGGTGTATACATGGTTTTCTGGATATATACAATATTCTTGAATATATATGGATAAAATGAGATAAATATATGTATATACACAAGTCCTATATCAAAAAAATATTTACAAATTTTTCGATTTCATAGCTTCGTGAAATTTTCAAAGCATGTCATATCTTTTTGATAGAAGCACAAACCAACTTTGCAGGTTTTGAACAAAAAGCTTGTTTTGTGCGGCTTCTGTTCTGTGCAACAATATGTTTAGAATTCCAAGTAAAAAGAAAAAACAGAAAAGAGAAAAAAAAAAACTCTTTCCTCTTTGGAAAGAGTTTTCCTGCCATTAATGGAAAATTAATAATAAAAGATTAACTGCAATTAATAGTAACATTAATAGTAAGAAAAATAAGCTATAAGATATACATACACAAAAAATATCTACACAATTATTGTAAATAAACGGGACTGAGACTAAAAAGCGATAGCAAAATAATTTGTGCAACTTTCCTAAGTAAAGGTGACTCAAGCTACTGATAAAATTCCCGCCTGAAAACTACTCACAAAAATTTCAAGATGCCCATATTAGGACTTTCATAGCACAAACCACACCTCACCCCTCCAGGCTGCTTTGTTTCAATTCATTCCCCCAAAAGAACGTAAATAGAAAACATATACAACAGATGTTTTCTCCTAAGATAAGCAAGTTCGGATGCATAATAGCATGAGATCCCTAAAGGCGCAGTGTTCCCGCTAATGGAACACCCTGTTTTATTTAATGATTCTGTGCATGCTTTTTGTATGAGAAATATGTAACAAATAATATAGAGTACAGCCATCAAAATTATTTGGAATTTTTCCAAACAAATTTTTTTGCATCACAAAAAATATAGAAAATAAGTGGATTTTAATAACACATCATAAATGAAAATGGTTAATCTTCAGATTATGGTAACTTGGCGAAAATTTGGCGACCAACCCTGCTACAGCAACCTGCTAGTTTTTTTTTTTTGGCCACCATTTTGTTTTCACGAAGTAAAGGCATTTTTTTTTTACTCAGCATTTTTTTCCAACAATCTGCTAGTCGAATTACGCTTATGCTAGAACTTTTATGGAACAAAAGTGCTTAATCATGACGAAGATTAGGTGCGAAATTGGGAGAAAGTGTAGAATCGCCCACTGTTTGCCGCATTGGCTGATCTTTAGAATATGGTAACTGGTAGTTTGGCGACATTTTGGAGGCGATAAAGGTTACTACCTGGGACTTTGGTAATAATGTGAGCAGTACTCAGTTCCGATTACGCATTATTTTGTGTGAGGGAAATGAGAGATCATGGGATATGTCATGTGATATTAATGGACGAATTACAGTTCTTTAATCAGAAAAGGGGAGAATTTGGAAAAATATCTGTGGCTGTATATTATTTTGTATTAAGCTTCATTGTGTGTTGTGTGAAGTAGGGTTGAATAATTTTGGGATTGTATGGCGCTGTCTAAAGTGAATTCTAGATGTGATAAAGAGAATTTTGCTTTTTATTTAGCGGAGGAAAAATTCGCAGAAAAAATCGTTCAATAATTCTATTGAATCCATAATAAAAGGTATCCACCATGTAAGCAAGATTCTGAGAAGATTAGGTAAGTTAGTATTTTTAATTATTTGAGGATATTATTTTTATGCATTGTTCTAAATGTAAGGTGGAAGTAAAGTAATTTGGTATTATTGGGAAAATTGTTATTAGCAATGATTTAGTTTAAGAAATTAGCATTGTAAGCTAATTTTTATTAATTTAATGTATGTGCTTATTTAAAGTAGTGGTTTTGAATTTAATTATATTTTAATTAAATGATAGTATTTTGTGAATTTTATGTTTGTAGGAATTTGGTATACGTTTTAGTTGAAGTAACGTGCATGGAAATAATTTAATATTTGACACTAAGTATTTGTAATGTTTGCGGTATGAGGTGACGTTTATAATATAATAGATAATTTAGAGGTAAAAGTTTTTAGATATTTTATTTATTTTATACGTGGTGGAAATGTTCATATTTGGAAAGGGTATATACTTTTCGTATTAGGTAATTTCATATATGTTCTTTTTAATGGGTTTAAAGATTCAGAAAATTGTCATGCATTTTCGTGAAATTTTTCTAATTTATGAAAAAAAAAGCAGTGTACATGGATATAGCGAAGAGTGTGCACAATGCCATTTTTGTGCAATTCTGGGATTTTTTTTTTAAGTAAAAATAAGTCGACGTGTACATGGTTTAGTGATATTTTAATTAAATAATAGTTATTTTGTGAATTTTATGTTTGTAGGAATTTGGTATACGTTTTCGTTGAAGTAAACGTGCATGGAAATAATTTAAATATCTGACACTAAGTATTTGTAATGGTTTGCGTATGAATTCGTTGGTGACGTTTATAATATAATAGATGATTTAGAGGTAAAAGTTTTTGGATATTTTATTTATTTTATATGTGGAAATGTTCATATTTGGAAAGGGTATATACTTTTTCGCGATCAGTTAATTTCATATATGTTTTTTTTACCGGGTTTAAAGATTGAGAAAATTGTCATGTATTTTCGTGAAATTTTTCTAATTTATGAGAAAAAAGCTGTGTACATGGATATAGTGAAGAGTGCGCAATGCCATTTTTGTGCAATTCTGGGATGTTTTTTTAAGTAAAAATAAGTCGACGTGTACATGGTTTATGTGTATGTGTTATTTTGAAAAACGCGTAAGGAGTATGGTATTGTGCACTTTTTCCCAATTTTGCACTGAATATTTGTCATGATTAAGCAGTTTTGTTAGATAAAATTTCTAGCATAAGTGTAATTCGGCTAGTAGATTGTTGGAAGAAGTGTTCAGTAGATAAAAAGAAAAGAAACACGTCTTTACTTCGTGAAGACAAAATGGTGGCAGGAAAAAAAATAGAGGGTTGCTGTAGGAGAGTTGGTCGCCAAAAAATCGCCAAGTTACCATGATCTAAAGATCAACCGCCGCATTTTTAAGAATTGCACATACACGGTATCATCCATGTACAGGTCGACCTATTTTCACCTAAAAAAACACCCAGAATTGCACAAAAATGGCATTGTGCACACTCTTGACTTTATCCATGTACACTGCTAAAGTCCTAGCTAGTAACCTTTATCGCCTTACCAAAATGTCGCCAAACTACCTGTTACCATATTCCAAAGATTAGCCATGAAAATTCTGGGTCTCCTTGTGATGTGTTGCCATCTACTATTTAAAAAGAAAAGTTTGAAGTATATTATAAAGGTATTTTTATTCATTTACGGGTGAATTTAACGGTTTCAGAAGCGATTCAGTTTGGGTGTTCCATGTAGTGGAACACTAAGCAACAAAGAGTTAAGTATGTTAGGGGAACACAACAAAGGGTTATGATTGTGTATATGAAGGTTTAAATCTACCTGCCAAACGCAGGAGCAAATTTCTGCTGTCAAATTAAAAAATTGATGTATTCAAATTGTGCCAAGTAGTACAACAAACACAATAGGTGTCATTTGAAAGTTTCACTGTATGTTTATAAAGGCATACTTCTGGCTAGATTCTAATGTGGTATTATGAACTCATTTTCAGTTTGGTAAGTGCTGTTAAAACACATAAAATAAAAGTACAGAAAATTGAATTTTTTTCAGTTTTCATTTGAGAATTAAAACAAAAGAAGGTTACATGTGTGGCTCTAAATAAGTACTTATGAATTTATTACAGTGATAGATCAAATTTTTCTAGAAATATTTGAGATACTTTCATAAGCATTGGAATAGCATTTTAATTACTAGTTAAACATTTTAGAATCAGGAGATATTAAAGCCACATCAGGATATGCATTGAAGGTAGTATGGGATATATTTTTAATGGAAGATTTACCAAAATAAGCACGTTTTCAGGAATATTCTTTGGAACTATGCCTTTTTTGTCGTATCTAATAAGGCGAGTTCTTACTTTTGAATCGCGTTGATTTAAATAATAAAATTGCATTTAATTCATGATTGGTCTAATAAAAAATATTCAAGCTTTTCATAGAATGATGTTATTTATATTTTAGCATGAAAGGGCTATTAGTCTCGAAACAACATTTTACGTTGAATTACTATTGACGGTGCAGAATAAAAAGGGCACAGAGTTTTAGAAGCACGGGTGGCAAAGAGCCTAGCACCAGCTCCAATCTATTGTGATATTTATGAGGCTAGAAACAGGAATAAGTTCATCAAGCAACATGTAAGAAAAAATCACAAGTTAAAGCCCTTTTACTACAATCAATATTTGGATTGACGCTATGTATTAGAAAAAAAGAAGTTTTTATGCAGTTGGTGACTCATTTCTTTATGCAACGTTATTGAAACAAAGATCTGATGATAAAGATGAAACGGCTAATCTTTGGAATATGGGAACAAGTAGTTTGCCGACATTTTGGTAAGGCGATAAAGGTTACTAGCTAGGACTTTATCAGTGTACATGGATATAGTCAAAAGTGTGCACAATGCCATTTTTGTGCAATTCTGGGATTTTTTTTTAAGTACGTCGACGTGTACATGGATACCGTGTATGTGGAATTCTTAAAAACGCGGCAAGCAGTTTGCGATTTTGCACTTTCTCCCAATTTCGCCCCTAACCTTCGTCATGATTAAGCACTTTTTGTTCCATAAAAGTTCTAGCATAAGCGTAATTCGGCTAGCAGATTGTTGGAAAAAAAATGTTGAGTTAAAAAAAAAATGCATTTACTTTGTGAAAACAAAATGGCATCCAAATAAAAACTAGCAGGTTGCTGTCGCAACCCCCAAAATTTCAGCATGCTCAACCGTTGGTTACGTAAATGATGAACTTTGCTTAAGATTATCAAGGCATTATTGCGAAAGATGTGGAATGTGAAAAATATGTCTCGTGCAAAAAGTGTCACTGCAGCATTTATTATATGTGGTTTTAAAAAATGTGAAAATCATCACATAAGAACAACCTAAAATCCTTAAGGATTAGGAATTAACTTCAAAGGACACCTGTAAAAGGATTAACTATAAAATCCCCAGATTTCAAATTCTTTCCCTAATTAAAAGAGCTGTCACGTGAACAGTGATTTCGTTCCCTGAAAGAAGTTTTTTCTATAGTTACCAAGCTTCGAAAATTAAGTTATTGTTTGTTGATAGCAAGTTGCATTTAATGGACCAAAGAGCTGCAAAGTACGAGCACAACAACAAAGTACGAGCAAAGTACTCGTACGAGCACAATAGGTGCTGGGCCCTGTGTGATGATGAACGCAAGCTGGCAACAATTTTTCTCTTTGGTGCTTTCACATATGCCTACTTCTATTATGATGCTCTGAACAGAACCAGGCTTTATCTGAGAAGATGACTTGGTGCCACTTCTGTGTTCAGTGACTTTGTTTATTGCATCACTGCTGGTGTACGTATCTCTGCTGCAGTGTTAGGGAAGCTGTGGCAACAGTTATGCTAACAGTCCATGAGGCTGAGACATTATTGCACTGTTTGTGGAAACATGTCATCCTACACATGAGCCAGGCTCAAGGGGTATATGAAAGAAAAAAGGTTGGGAATAACTGCTGTAGTAGATTAGAGGATATTTTGAAATCTTCTAAAATTTGAATTATTCCAGGAGAAAATATAATTGGCTGAAGTGAACTATAATAAAAAGTGGACTATCATAAATACTATCATAAAAAGTATAGTACATATTTGTGTAAATATGTACTATACTTTTTATAATTTCATTTATTGCATGTGAACCAATTATTGTGGCTGAATATTCAAGTCCTGCATTCCTTTATTGCATATAAAATCCAAAAGGAAAGGATTGAGCCTTTAATTTATGTGCATTTAATTAAACCTTTAAAATTATCAGCATTTTATAAGAAAGTTTGACTTGAATTTCTTGTGAACATACCTTTCCCATTTTGAGGAGAGGAGGGTACACGTGTTTGTTAAAAATTTCAAATTTTGTGTATTGTGATAGTAGTTGCTTGCTTGCTAATCATAAAATAGAAGTATGTTGTGAAAAATATCTGATTGTCTTGTGGAAATGCGACTTGTGTATTCAAATTATATTGTATAATTATTGAGAAAATTAATAAAAAATATTTGATTCTGTTATTTTAGACTTATTCATCCTGCTAAAATGCTGTGTGGTATTCTTGCAATGCTGGCTGCATTTGGGATTTTTTGTTATATTACAAATTCTAAGAGATCTGCTACAAAGTTCAAACGAGATCATCCAGTCATAAGTCTGTTTGTTATCTTTACAGGTTTGAGTTTTCTCATAATTATGACTTTTTAAATAATGCTGCATATGTAAAAGATTTGATGCAAATTAAATACCATGTGTATGTTCTTTAATTTTTAGTCGATGCAAATTTTCATTCTTTGAAAAGTAAAGTGTAGAATATGAAATATTGATAGTTTTATTATATAGTAAATTGTTGCACTTTTAATAAATATTTTGTTTTAATGGAGGATTAAATATCTTTTTAAATATATAGTTTTATTATTTTTATACTCCATTATTTCAAAGACAAATATTTTCATCTAAGTATAGAATGATTCTGAATTAATTATATTATTTATTGAAAGAAATATGAATTTCTTTATATAATTTGAAAATTTTCAAAAATAATGAATGCTATAAATGATTGTTAAGGAACTGAGGCAAATTAGATCATATTACAGTTAATAGTTAATGTAATACAAAAGTCTTTAATCCGGACTCGTCGGGACTTCGGCGATTCCGGATTATCGGTTTTTCCGGATTATAGATCATCAGTTTAAATCTGGTAAGATTGCATGCAGAAATGATAAAATTTTAAATAAGAAACCGTAATTTATGAAATAAAGAGCAGTTATGATCTAAAGGGTATCAAAATTTACAAAAAAAAACGTTCCCCCCCCCCTGCAGAACTGCGTGAAATTGATAAACAGATTTTGGAATGGTTAGAGAAACAAAGGATATGCCTTTATCCATTTTTTACAGCAATTCCACTTTTTCTTTGATGGGCATCGAAACATGCTTTCGCTATGTAGATCCTTTGGCATCTACAGAATCGGAAGTTCTTTTTGCCATAATCAAAAGTTCAAGCTTACTTTTATAAAATTGCTCTAACAGTCTGCAAAAAATAATAAGCCAGATCCAATTAGAAGATTAAGGAACAACACAATCTGCAACATTAACTGAAATAGATAATTTTAGCTTAGCTTATACCATCCGTTATACATTAAACGCGCATGCGTAAACATATTATGCAGCATGCGTAAACATATTATGCAGCATGCGCAGAAAGTTTGTAGCTTTGAGGTCCGGATTATAGATCATTCCGGATTATGGATGTCCGAATTAAAGACTTTTGACTGTATAAGCAACTGATTATCTAGTAGGGCCAAATTAATAAATTTTTGAGCTCAGCAGATTAAAAAAAAAATCCATACATATTTTAAGAAGCGATATTATTACATAATATTATGCTGATATATATACACTATGCTGATACTTGCAAAAAAAAAAAAAAAAAAAAAAAAAAAAAAAAAATGAATAAAATATTTCATTTATAAATAAACATATAAAACAAGTTAAAATTTTGCATTAATGTGATGAATATTAATGTTTTTTTCTGAGATAATATCTCTCCATAATAGAGTTTGAAGTTAGTACTTTCTATCATTAATGTTTTTAGCGTTTTTAGCAAATGGCTGCCTGTGAACAATAATCTGTATTTAGATTTTACACACTTCATTTTTGAAAATGTTCTTTTGCGTAGGTAAGTATGCTCTGATACAGATATAAATCCTCAGGCACATGATTTTAATTGACCATATTTTATCTTCTGAAGGATATATATATAGAGCTAGATCAGTTTTCTTTAAACATGATTTTTAGCGTATCGTTATTTTTGTAGATAAGTTATTTCTAGTTGAAGGTCTGAGGGTAGCTTCTCTCAGTTGGACAATGAAGTATAGGAATGTCTTTGCACTTGTATGAAGATCAGAAAAGTGCTATTGTAACTATAATTTAAGTTCAGAAAATGTATGAGGATTTTCTAATATTTGAAAATTTGCAGCATGACTAAACTAATTTTAATGTGATTTTTTGTTTCAAACAATGCAAATTTTTGGTGCTAAGACTTTAGACTAAGTTTCACATATCAGCACAGTTTTCCCAACAATTGTAAGTTAAATTAAGCTATGCCATAATGCCTGTAGTAAATGCTTATTTCCATAGCCATTGAACTGCTGTATGGTAGGACAAGCCAAGATATTTGGCTTTGATTTCTAATAAAAACTCATTAAACTGTTGATGGTTAAGTCCATGGATGCTTCAAATGTTTTCTAACTTGTCCTTTTCCCATTCCATACATATTTTTACCACCATCATTTTTGACACATTTTAACTGATTCTATTGCAAATTTCATTGTGTTAGCATTTTCTCAACTTCCTTGAAGACATTTTCACCTGTAGTTTTTCCATGCAGATTGTTCATAGAAGATAATTCTTCAGCCACCTCAAACTTAGTATTGATCCTTTGAATAAACAGTGAGCCCACCAGCGGCCGACCGGTAAAGTCGCTGAACGCTGGTAGTTCGGCTTAAGGTTCGAATCCCGCGAACGGGCTGGCTGCATGGGCGTTTTTGTGGTTTTCCCCATGTGTAACGTGTATACGATCCAGTTTCCCTTAAAAAGTCCTCTACGGAGGCATCCCTCCTCTTAGACAGATAGCCCTAGTGTGCTTTGCCATAATTAAATACACCGTACACCATCGAATAAACAGTTGTAATTAGGCAGTATCAGTAACGTCTGTTGAGTCATCAACAGCTAATGGAAATGAAATGAAATTAAATTTTTGCCTTATGTTTTAATTGACTCTTGATGTGGATCTCAATGCCTTCAACTTTTCTAACAGCTGTTCTCGCCTGAAGACTGACAGATCAAAACAGATCCATTTTCTCTCATGACATTTCTTTGGCTATCATAAGCAAGCATGTAATTCATCATCTGTAAATGAATTTCTTTTTGTAGCTAATAAATGAGCTATTCATAAGCTGATTTTAATTACTGCTACTGCTTCATTATCTTTTTTACTTTTACAAATACATTGTGCTGTGATAAGTACTTTGTTTTCTAATTTTAGGGATTTCTAATTTTTTGCTAATTTTGAATATTGTCTCGAGTACTTACTTAGTTTTGTAAAGACAGTGTATAATGTGCCCTTTTTGCATAGCTGTTTTATCATTACATAATAAATATAATACTTTGCCATTTAATTTCATGGCAAAATAATTCAAATTCCAGTCTGCCTTTTTTCTTCTTATCTGGTTTTGAGAGTGACATGGCATATAAATGAAAAGAACAAAACATCACAGAGTGCCGATAGTGTGTAAGGACTGACACATGTGATGGATAATACCACATGCACCACTAAAGAAAAACTGAGAGAAGTGGCAATGCTGGTTCTTTGACAATGGCAGACAGAAAAATAATGATGCCAGTAGCACCATATGTGGTTATTATTGATAACTTCTCAACTAGACTCTTGCCAGTTATGTTAGAGCATGAAATTTGATTTACTTAAAATTTTTTTATTTAAAATTCAGAATTAAAGCAAGCAACAGAGATTTGGCCTGCTGCCTGTAGTTTTCTGACTCTGGTCCTGTTGGTTGTCGTTAATAACTTCTAAGACTTATTGTTGTATTCTACAGGTTTGGGGATTTGGAGTGATTGATGACAACACTTGATGAAGAATCAGAACACAATTTATTCATCTGTAATACACAGGACAGTTCCAGAGAGTCATAAAAAAACTACGACTATCACACTGAAGCAATCAGCAACACAGCCTTCAGGCTATTAGGATATATTGGTGAAGATAGCTTCATGGCAAAGCACTAAAGTGCAGCTCCTGACTCTGTTGATGGCTCTCGAGCTAATCTCTGAACTCAAGACACTACTACTGAACTCAACATATTCTTGATACTACTCGTAATACACTGCTGCTCCACGTACAGGCAGGGTATTTATAGATTTTGACCTACCCTCGAGAACATTCTCGAGGAAACAGCTAAGAATTCGTTCTAGAATGTTCCTGCTCTGTCCATGGTATATCACCAATTTTGCCACCAAATGATCAATTTCATGCCAAATCTGGCAACCCTGCCTTTCCTTGCCACTTTCTAGCAAATCTAAGTTCGCTTTGCGGGAAGCTAATGTACCCCAGCTGGGCATTTTGTAACACTATTCTTTCAGATTTTCATTAAGTAATTTTGCGCTTTTTAAAATCATAGCTTAGAACTAATATTTACTTTCTTCATTGTTTAGTTCCATTTTTTCTTTTGTTCTATATTTGTGAGGCTGAGTTACATAATGAGAAATGAATAAATTAAATACAATGATTTTCTGCTGAATGTGATCATGCTGGTAATATACAAAAAAAAAAAAAAAAAAAAAAAAAAAAACCCGTTGAAATGATGATAGATAACAGGTGCTAATCAGATAAAAACTTTATAATATTGGTTTTTAATAAAATTACATTTAGGCATTTGAATTTGCAGAAAAAGATGATTATGTTTTTTTGAGCTGTTGGTGAATTTTTCATATTTGAAGTTTGGGTGATTTCTGATGATATTATAGAGCAAGATCTGCAAGGTCATATATGTATGCAGCTTAGAGGTTTTTTTCCAAGTGTAATCCCTAATAGCACAGAAATATCTAGAATTTTTGGATGCATCAGTTAAAAAAATATTATTATATATAAAATATTAGTCAAAAATCTTAGAGTATTGTGCTCAGTTAAATATTTATATTTTAAATATTATTTCATTCATAAGTATTAATTGATATTTAATAAGCTTGCATTTTGCACTAAATATCTGTGTAATTGTTGTAATTTCAATTTTATTTAAGGTGGTTACTTTGTTGTGTATATGCTGGGCTCAGTTCTAGTTTTCCTGTTCGGGATTATGTTGCCAATACTTTGTAAGTATAAAATACTTTATAAAAAACTGAACTTTAATTTTTAGATTATTTTTATATTAGCTTCATATGTCTACATATTACACTCTTTTGCAAAAAAATCGAAGCACCAAGAATGATCATGACGAAATTTGGTATGCAAAAAGATCTTGATCAAACATGCGAATGATCAAAGTTTCAAGGCAAATGAACAAGAATTGCAATCATAGCGCGCATTTCTAGTGCGCAATTCACAAAGTATAAAACCAGTAACAGAGGCGGAAAATTTATCCTTTTTTGTTGATGCCACTGTAACTCTGTAAAGAAGCAACTAAAGTTGCCATTATGACGATATGAAAGACCTTACAGACAGTTAGACGACTTCGGACGTGGTCACATTGTAGGGTTGCATGAAGCTGGGTGGTCATACTGAGCAATAGGCCACACCTGCTGAGTACAGACACTGCTGTCCAAAGATGTTGGCAGCAATGGTTGCTACAAGGAAATTGTTGATGAAATGAAGGCTCTGGAAGGCCAAGGAGCACAAATGTGAGGCAAGATAGGATGATTGTTCCCCAGGCCCAAACTGACTCAACCGTATTACTATTGTCGACTATTCAATGCACTACAGCCACATCTATACCTCCTGGGGTACCATCCACATCTCATGCCGCTTGTCTGAGGCGGGGTTATGCTCACAGAGGCCTTTAAGATGTTTGCCTTTGACCTCACAACATCGGCAGAGTCGTTTAGTTGCAGCCGATCATCATGGCTGCCATCAGACTGGCATCGTATAGTGTTCAGCGATGAATATTGCTTCTCTCTTGAAGCAAATTACTACCGTGTTTATGTCTGGAGAGGATGGGACCAGCGGTCCTAATCAGCCTTTGTTTTACAAAGGCATACAACCATAACCCTTGGTGTGATAGTGTAGAGCACTATTTCTTATGACCGCAGTTCATCTTTAGTCATCCTTCGTACATCTTTAACAGCTCAACTATATGTTGATAACCATCCTGCGGCCAATTGCATTACCCTTCATGGCGTGTCATCCTACCATTTTGCAACAAGAAATGCTAGGCCACATACCACTCGCATATCTCTGGACTGTTTCTGTGCAGTTGATACCCTTCCTTGGCCAGCAAAGTCACCAGACCTTTCACCAATCGAGCACGTCTGGGGCATAGTAGGCAGCCAGATTCAGGCACCACAAAATATGCATAGACTCCAACTACTACGGATTCTCTGTAGTTTCTACGGAAATTCATGAAAAACTACGAGCTACGAAAAGTATGGAAAAAACTATGGATTTTACAGAAACAAGAGCAGGAGAACCAGTACGCAAAACGGAACCAACTATTCATCCGATGATTGGCTGAATACTCGTGTTATCATATATCACGTGTTGAGTGCGTTCCTAGTTTGAAGAATTAGCCAATCGTAGATCAGTAATAACTCCAACCGTTAACGACTTATCAATAGTTTCCACCCAATTGTCTGTCTCCCAGGTTCCTCGCTGATGCGTGTTTTAGGCTGCATTCGGCTGCATTGTGTAGTTACGGCGAGAGCTTAGCGTGTGTCTTGTGAACTGTGAATCAGGTGAAAGATTTTTAATCATAATGCTGCCTCGAACCAAGAAGCCAAAATTATCAAAGCAGAAGTTTTTAAAGATTCATATTCTTCAGAATTTCCATGCATTAAAGTGTCCGAAATTTCTGTGAATCACGCACACTGCAGTGTATGCAACAAAGACTTTCTCAGTTGCTCATGGCGGAAAAGGAAAAGATGACTAAAACGGCATGTGTTTTTCTCAAAAGCATATAGAACTTGGCACCATAAAATCTAAAGAAATAACAAATTTCTAATAAAAGATGATGAAACAGATCCTATATAAAAGCCGAATACTTTTTGTTCGTTTCGTTTTTTAGTTGAACATAATCTACCCGCTTTTGTTTCGGATCATTCCAAAGAGCTTTTCAAAGCAATGTTTTCCGGATTCTGCCATAGCAAACAAATTTATTTAGCTGCGGTCATACCAAAACTGCTGCTATTGTGAAAACGCTTGCAGAAAATACTGTTGCTGATATTATAAAATCAGTGTGCAGTACATCATTTTCTCTAAGTACTGATGGAAGTAAATGATAACAATGATAACAAACTGTACCCATTGGTTATAACATACTACAGTAAAGAAAAGGAGTGATAATTACTTCATTGATTTCTATTTTAGAATGCACGAATAATACAGGAGAAGGTATTTTTAATTGTATAAATGAAAACTTTAAAAACAAAGGTTTAGAATGGAAAAATTGCTTTATCATTTTCTTCAGATAATGCTAGTAATATGATTGGAAAGTTTAAGTTTAAAGGTGTAGCATCATCATTATCAAAATGCATCAACCAAGTATAATCACCCGAGGGTGTCCGTGCCACCTCTTGCATATAGCTGGAAAAAAAGCTACTGAAAAATTAATTGGCTCAGAAATCGAAATGTTGTTAATAGATATATATTTTTATCTGGAGAAAAGTTCGAAACGGAAGCATAGCTTCAAAGGTTGCTCAACACATTTTGGGACACAGAATGGAAAATCTCATAAAATTCTGAAATACTGCAGTACGAGATATTGTCTCTTGTAGAATTTATAACAAGGATTTTGGAACATTGGGATGCTGTCATTAATTTTTTGGGGGATCAACCAGATAACAGTGAGAATGAAAGAAAGAGATTGCAAAACATTAAAAAAAAATTTACAATCATCTACCACCAAACCATTGTACTTGTTATTTTTGAAAAATACTTCATCTTTGTTTACAACAGTAAATATTAATTTGCAACAACAAGCTCCTTATATACATAAATTGAGAAGAGAAACTTTTTGAACTTTTAATGAATTTATTTGTTAGATTCGTAAAACCATCAGTAATTTCTAAAGAAATGAAATAGATGTTACTCTACGTCTATTCCATTTCAGAAGTATAGTAAACAAAAGAAAATGAAAATTTAGTGATTGGTGCGGAAACAAGACTATTTTAAAAAATGCCAAGTTGAATGACGAAAGTGAAGTGAAATCATTTTTCAATTCTGTGCGAGCTTTTTTTGTAACTGCATGTTCATATATATTGATAAATTTCCACTGAGTGATCCATTTCTAAAACATGCTGAAAGTTGCTGACATCAACTTGAGAACTGAAGTCTCATTTTCATCTGTTCTTTACTTGATGAATACTTTCCATCCATTATTGATGAAAAATGTCTTAATCAAGTAGAAATTGAATTTTCCCATGTATCAAGTAGATGATTTGAAAGAATTGTAGATTTGCGTATTGATATAGCATGGGGAGAAATTGCCAAATTAAAAAATATGAAGGGTGTATTAAATACAAAGTATTGCCTTCTGTATGCTTGCTGTCTTAATAATACCTCATTCAAATGCAGCTTGCGAAAGAATTTTTCTATTGTTAAAAAAAATCAGACGGAATTTCGACCAAATTTAGGTCTTAAAACTCTTGAAGCAGTTTGATTGAAAAAATAAATATGCAAGCAAATGAAGAACTGTGTTATAAAAAAACATTCTCAAAATCAGAACTTAAGCTTGCTAAGCATGCTACATATAAATCTTTGCATTCATAAATTATGCGTATTTTTTTTAATACTTATATGTATCATTCTTGGTTATTTAAATTTTATTCCCTGTAGAAATCATATCCAGAATAAGATATGATTTATAGCTTCTTGATTTTTTTCTATGATTAGTAGTGATTTGAAGTACTTTTTATTAGTGAATGCTTGAGGAGTTAAAAGAAAATTTCTAATTAAATGTGCATATAATTTACAAGGTATTTTTAATTATTCAGTTTATATGATATGGATTTTAATGTAATAAAATTGATTACAATTAATTATTAATTTAAAATTAATGAATGGTTAATTACAACATACGCTACGCGCACATTTTCAAAGTTGTAAAAATGTCGTTCGCACGTTGACTACTGACAAGGTTTGCTGAAGGTTGGAGTCTATGAATATGTCTGGAGCAACAACTGATGAATGCTTGGCAGAATGTGTCGCAGGATGACATTAGGAACCTCTACCACTCCTTGCCTCGATGAATTCAAGTATTCATTGGCGCCAGGGGCGGTTCGACCAATTACTAATTTGAAGACACAGTGGGTGATTGTGAGCCATGAACAGGTACTATAACCTTAATTTTTTAAACGTTTATTATCCGTGTATGAGCAATTATGCACATATTCAATTTCATCAAAAACAACCACTTCCTTCATGGTGCTTCGATTTTTTTGCAAAAGAGTGTACGTTCTAATGACTTTACATTGTTTTATCATTTACAAAAATGTTGTAGTCGTTAGTTAGAATTTTAGTTGTGTGTAAACTGGAATGCATTTAAAGTATTTTTTAGTGTATAACTTTTTAAGCTTATTGAATGCTGTAATTTTGTTTAACTGTAAAATCCTTTCTTAATACCTTTCCAAAATATTTTTAATTAAAAAAAATTTGTTTTTTTTTTTTTTTTTTTTTTTTTTTTTGTTTCATTTCTGAATAGTTCATACATAAACAAAACTCTGAAATTCAGAGGTGAAAGTTTTCCCACATACGCTAGTAAGTTTTTATGCCGAAAGAAATTCAGTTGCTAGCTGTGAAATAATATGATGGCTATGTTTCCAGTGAAATTTAAATCAACTTTTTAAAGTACCAGCCTTACATATTCTAAGTTTTAATAAATGTTTCAGTAACTGAATATCTTAGCTAATGATAATTTTCTGACAAAAAAGAAGTTTTCTTTTTTTAATGAAATGCAGGTGACTGAAATGTGCACTTTAGGATTAAGTACATCTTTGCAAGGAATTTTTCAGCTTCTTGGAAATGCAATGCTGGGTTACCTTGAGCTCTGCATTTGGCGTAGTTCCAATCCTTCAGCTGCGACCATGAGCCGCAAACATGCATGTGCTATTCGGACCGATTTATTATCAAAATGTGGTGGATGGACATGAATCGTAGTAGAGATTTTTTTGTTTTTTTTTGTTGTTGTTCTTATTTTGTACCTGTTTTTTTTTTTTTTTTTTTTTTTTCACAGCATTCAAAGAGCACAGACATAAGAAACAAACAAACAAACAAACAAACAAACAAAAAAAAAACATTTTTAAGCAATCTAATCTAATTTGCTGATAATCATTTATAATTAACTGTTTTATTACATTGTGTTTGATATTGTGCATTTATTTGTTTATATATTTGTAAAAATGCAAGTGTTTTCCAAATTAGTTTTGCTGTATATACATTATTTCATAATAAAGCTTAATAAGTAAATTTTATTGTGTTGTAATAATTCAGTCATTATAATTTTCTGTATTATTTTCATTTTGTATTATAATAATTATTTTATTACATCAAGGCTTTATTTATCAAGGCGTATATTTAATTGCAAAATATGCACAAATATTGGTAGGCCATCTAGTGGTTTTTCTTTCACATCAATAATAGGCAATAGGTTTTTCTTTCACGTCAATAATAGGCAATAGGTTTTTCTTTCACATCAGTAATAGGCAATAGGTTTTTCTTTCACATCAATAAAGGTATTGATAAGCTGGGAACTTACTTATCAATACCTGCTGTAGATTTATTATATTGAGTGACAGGAAGTGGTTTTCATTTCATTTCTCCTTTTTTGTTCGTTGTTTCTACAGTATCAAATTTGTGTTCATTAGAAATATAAGTTATGTCTCTTATATTTTTCCATTTACCAATCATAACACCATTAAGCATACTTCGCTACCATTTGCCTTTTCTTTAGTTTTTTCTCGCTAACCTCTTTCAGAAATATCTTTCTGTTCCTTCTGATTGTCCTAGTACAATGAGTTTTTCTGTTAGCAAGACATTTTGCCACTTCATAGGTATTATAATAATTTCCCATAAATACATTATGCCCAACATCTAGCATTCCTTCTAATAAATTAAACACTCCTTTTTATGCATGTCCTTTCCCTCCAGAATCATCCATCATGCCAGTATAAACTATAAATTTGATAACCATTAGGTGTTGTGATTATACCTAATGTGATACCATATTTATGGCATTTGTTTGGAACATACTGTATAAAAATGAGCCACCCATGCCATAGTATCATCAACTCATCTAAACTAATCTCTCATCTTGGGTAGAATATTTCAACCAATTATATATTGAACAAATTCACCATACTTTTAATTTTATGTAGTCTATCCTTTGGGGGTTCTGCATTTTGCTCTTGGATTGTTGTGATATGAAGTGTCATCAGCAATAAAAGAAAACGATTCCTGCTCATATTATATGAGAATATACTCAAGCCAAAAAGTGTATCTGTTTTCCAGTAATCTTGAATGAGGTTTATTCTCATATTTTACATATGTAAAATTAATCCTCCTAATACCAATATTTCATCTCTTATGGCTTCTTTCCAAGCATTAATTCTAGAATGTTTCTTTGTTTCATTGGAACAAAGTACTTTACAAGCATAGTCATTGGTTTGAGCAATTACTTAATCCAAAATATTTTCTGTAAATAAATGGCAAAAGTAATCAGTTGGATTGTCACCTGAAACAGGTTGCAACAAACACTCTGATTTTTGTGAAAGGAAATTGTTCTATTGTTGTGGGAGAATTTTCCAAATTATGCTTCCTACCATAGCGAAATCATGCCGATGACATGTCACTTCTTTCATGTCTTGCAGCTCTTCATCTTCCTCTTCAGAATCCAAAATCTTTTGGCCACCTTGGGGAGGAATGAAATCTTCACTGTTGTCAGAACTAACATCACTTGAGTACTTGTCCAAAAGCTCAGCAATCAAATAATTTGCTATTTCATCATCAGTTAGAAGCATATTAGATTGGACTTTTCTTTTTTTTTCGGGGGGGGGGGCATCTACAACTCATATTAAAGTTTTTTTTTAATAAAGCTCTAAATTCAGAACCACTTACCTGTTCAATTAGCTTCTAATTTTACTCCACACCAATACCAGCAGACTCACTTGACATATAATGCCTACTGAAATGGAGACTAAATGTTGCGCTGCAGCTCTTCTCGCATAAATGTGTGACTGGCAACTGAGACATCACTCGACACCCCCTGCTGGCAAGTGATTGGCCTTTTACTGTTGACTGCGCAGGCACGAGTTTGGCAGCGAAAGTATTAAGGAACATTTGTAACAAATCATGATATAGGTTCCATATTAAAAAATTAATAATTTTTTTCCAAAGCTAATAAACAATTTTCTTCTTTAAAAGTGCCCTTTTCAAGATCATTAACTGTTTAAAATATCTTTTTTGGTTAGCCATCAACATCGAAATTTCATCTTTATAATAAGCATAGAGTGTCTTTTTTTTTTTTTTTTTTTCATGGTTATCTTGTAGTCTAGTAGTCAACTATTTTATTTAGTTTTATTAGCTGGCTGTTTACTCTGTCATAAAGTAAAATTGCACGAAAGAATTGTTTTTTTTAAATGATTTTTTTTTCCGGGGGGGGGGGGGTATATGTGTATATTAATAGTGTACCACAAAAGTTGAAAAAATTTTCTCTATGCTTGCTCCAGTGGCATAGGAGGAGGGGCAGTCACTGCAGGTGGCAGATTTTTCAGAGCCAGCATTTTCATGTGAAATACATTATAAATGTTAGTTATATGGATCTTCAGAGCAGAAAGACTAATTGAGATTTATTAGATTATAGTAGTGTTTTACATGGTTATCTGTCCAAGGGGCAGGTTATCTTAGTGGAGGACTAGAACTTTTCTTGAAGGGCTTGAAAATTGGGATTTGTCTGATATTCATGTCACGAAAGGCATTGGCTCATATTCTCACCATGCATGCATGAGTAAAGCATTAAATACAATATGTTAAGCATAATGTAGACCACATAAGACAGCTAGCCCATTGTTTGGAATTTGACCCCATATCAAGCGACTAGTATTTAGTCATCTTCTCCAATATAAAAATACGTATGGCAATTGGGTTATGATTTTAGTGGCGTAAATAAGGAAGATTCCATTATTAGGAGAGAAGTTTTATTTCTGGTATTGCTTGGGAAAACAAAACTGATAGAAGGAAAACATGCTATTCCAAATACTGTAATTTGATTTCAAATTTTTCTCACATTACTGTAAGTATTACTTGTTGGGAGAGAAGTTTTTCTAGATACAGTTCAGTTTATTTAAGCCCTAAAAATAAGCACTGTCTTGCATTTAATTATATTGTATCCATGTTCTGTTGTTATTTGCTCAGGTTTGTAATCTTTAATGTTATGCAAATTAATGAACTATACTGCAAATGTATGAGTTGCACACAAGCATTACCATTGAAACTTTTTGATTTTTACTCCTGGATTAAACTTTGTGATGAACAAGGATACCTTTCTTCACTATTGCTGAGTAACATCCTTTATATATGTTACCGTGAAACACCAAAATCTGGAGAATGTCGACTTTCACCGGTGAATGTCAACATTCACATAGTCGCTTGGTGTATGTCCGAAATATTTTCCAAATACTCTTATTTCTGACTTACACCGGTCAATGTCGACATTCACCATGCACTAACGGTAAATGTTGAACATATAACAATATCATATTTTCTTCTCCGTAATTCAGTCGCGAATAAACGCACTTGAGACTTGAAATAAGAACTTAAGAACATGAGAACCTAAAACACACAATACATTCAAAATGAGAAAGGGAAAATAATAGAAGTTAAAAACTTACTTAAATTATACAGTAGTTCCAAATGAGAAAATAAAATAAGTAATAAAAAACTTGCTAAATTATGTGATTCAAATCTTATTTATTGCAACAACTTAAACTGTTATGGCACTTTATGAACTCTCTTTTTGACTTTCACCAGAGCATATCAGTGATTGTCGACATACACCGGTGAGAGTCCGAATATACAAGAATGTAGTGCAATATTCGGTCTTTCACCGGCGTATTTGGTGAATGTTGATATTCTCCGGTGAAAGTCGACATTCTCCAATTTCGGTCTTTCACGGTAACATATATATGCATCCTTTATGCAATATACAAAAACTACAATAGAACAAAAAAAAATTAGCCTTTTTTGGGGGGGGAGGGAAAGGGCAAAGTTATGTGATAACATTTTATTGTGCTGCTCTTTTTACTGTCCCATTCACAGTTCTGATTTTGATCAATTTAGATTACTATTCACCAGTGATTCTCACCTTAAAAAGAGGAAAAAAAAAAAAAAAAAAACTTGTGGTCAGTTCTCTTACTTTTGAAATAATACTCTGAAAATATCAATACTCCATTTTGAGATGTTTCATAGTGTAAAAATCAGTGAAAATATGCATCTTGCTGTAAGTGTGTATATTTTTTTTTAATGTATATGTATTTTTATGTGGTGTTTATTTTTCAGTAATCCCAATATTTTATGCAGATTTTTATTATTAATTAATTTTATTTAATTTATTAAAAATAATTAATTATTATAAATTATGCTGTACTTTCAGTGATGTTAATTATTATTAAAAATTATGCTTATACTTTCAGTGATTATTATATTTTATATAATAATTATGCTTATGCACTGAAATTATGCTATACTTTCAGTGATATTCATTCATGCTTCAATGAGACTTCGAAATATACACAATAAGCTAACTAATAAGATAGAAACTATTGGACTTAAGAAGACTCCTATGGGGCTGTTACTAGAAGCTCTTGGTCAAGAACACAGTGTAATGTCCTAAGTTGACTTTTTTTTCCACATGAACTTTATTTATTCACTTCCTTATAATTCTTAACCTGGTTTGTTACTGAAGTTTATGTTCGCATTATTAAAAAAATGATATTATTTTGAATAATGTATACATAACATAGCTTTGAAGTTTCTGGTTTTGTAGCTTATAAATGAAAGCCATACATGCATTTTGTTTTTGTGATATTGTTTTTCATGTTTTATGTGTGCTACATCTAAGTGAAGCATTATTGTGGTAGTGTGTATTTTGTTATTTGCTGCCTATCAACAAAGTTTACTACTTAGTTTTTTGTATTTCTGGTAGTGAATTATTTAATGTTATTTTATGGAAAATGGGAGCATTAGAATTAGATTTCACATCCAGTGGTTTGGAATTGCTTGTTTATATAATTTTTATTGCTACAAAGTAGAAGCTTTTGATTAATGTTTATAAATAAGTTTACATATTTGTAAAAAAAAGATTGTTGCAAATTAAGCATAAGTATGGTGTTAATTTTTTTTTCATAATGGGCATTGTTATCTTATACTCCAAATTCAATTGCTGCCACTTTGAGAAAAATAAATCGTTATTAGGGTTTAATATTTTTAATGATTTATTTTTTGAAAAGTGAATCAATAACTTGACACTTTCTGCCCTTTAGACTAAAAAAAAAAAAAAAAAAAAGTCTACAAAATATTGTTTTATATAAGTGTTAGAAGAACAAACACCCTTGCAACATATTAACAAATTCCTACTTCAGTTGTAGAAACTAGGATTTTGTGGCAGATGTCACCATCAGGTCTCAAAAGGTAAAAATTCATAAAAATTTAGACATAGATTCTAATATTGCTAACATTTATTGTACATGGAATTTTTTAAAATAATTAAAATTTTTTGTTAAATAAACTGGTTAACTGGAATTTTTCACATTGGGTTCTAGAATGTCCTTTACAAGTTTCCACTTTACATTACTATTCTTGCCCATCTTTATGTATTAGCTAGAACGGGAACTAATTTGGTCTTCTGACATTCTGTTGGCATGGGTGAATTTCTAGGATTGGGGCTACTTAATTGCAGCATACTTCATCTTGATGGTGTGAAGAAAGGAAACCCAGAAAATACTAAACTTTACTAAACTTTCTTTGGTTGCCTAAGTGAGTTGTAATAAATCCATTTGACTATCTGAATGTAGGTCATCTGAACCACAGGTCATATTGCGCTACCGAAAACAATCTCTACTACCGACAAAATAGACCTCAATCTGTGAAGTTGGAAAACATCATCATCAGGACCAAAAAAGGTTAAAACAAAGCATTATCAATTTTATATTACCTAAAATTAATTGATATTAATTATAAGTTATAACATTTTAGTGCTTTTTATTTTATATTACTAAGGGAAATTTATTTAAAAACAATACTTAGACAGTATGAAAAGTTTCTTAAATTTTTTATTCAGGTAATATTTTAAAGGAATATATGCAGTTTCAAAACTCCCAACTCTTTGAAGTTAAATCTTCTAAAAATAAATATTGATATATATACCTTATTAAATTATATTCATTTTTAAAAACGTTTTGGAGTAAAAGATTACTTACAGATGTGAAAAGTGAATTATTATGTATACTTATTTTAAAATATTCCATGGAAATGTTAATGAGAATTCTGATTTCTTCAGAAAGCAGTGAAGGAATTTTTTTATAACTTTTGTATAGGAGTTTAATTTCAAATATATGCAACAGTATATGGTAATCAGATATGCCTTTTACAAAATGTGTGGTAATATTTATTCATTTGTAAATAAAAATGTAAATAATAGTATATTTACCATACATGTAAAAAAACAAATCATATAAATATATATATGTGTGTGTGTATACATATATATATATATATATTATCTGAATCTGAAATCTTTTTTTATGCACATAATTGTCTACTGTTATTTTTACCTTCAAATCTTACTTTCAACCTGTAAATAAAAGGTTTAATGTTATTGAATTTAATGAAATAAAATTTTTTTTTTAAAGTTTCTTTTATATACTTTAATATTTTATGGATCTGTACAGTGCATTTTCTGTCAGACGATGTGTATATATTTAAGAGGGATATTAAAAAAATTGATATTGATCACTAAAAGTTTTAAAAATTAATATTGATCGCTGTCCATGCTAAGAAGATGAATACTTATTTTTTTTAAAATGTCATCTTTCTTTCTCTCTCTCTCTCTTTTTTTAAATTTTGCATTTAATATTCCTCTCAATAATATTGATTGATAACCTTTTATTCTTCAGACTATTCATTTCATTTCTTTTGAGGATGAAATATTTTATATAGCATTTTTATTTAAGATATATTTTGATCTTAAATTAAAAGAAAAAAAAAAGAAATGAAAAGAAAGTTTAATATAGAATTGTTTGCAGATAGTCATTATATAAACACTTTTAGTGATACCTTTTTTTTAGTTGGACAATATAAAAATGATTAAAAAATGGAAGTTTGATATAGATCTGTTTCTGTTTTACAAAGAAAGGATATTGCTTTGTAAAGAATTACATCATTAATCTTCTATGATAATAAAATGTAATAAATATAATTTACATGTAGTAGAAGTGTATTTGTTAAGGTAACATTCCTTCTTTTCCTCTGTGATAATTTGCCATTTAAGGGTGTTTCCTCTTCTACAAGATGTATAACACTTTACAGACAGAAACATTTTTAAATGAAATTGCTTAAGAAATGCTGTATTTGTTTGGTGTAGTATAGTTTCTGTGTTTTATTTGGAAATATTGAAATTATCTTTTATTTAAAAAGAAAAAAAAAAAAAAAAAAAAAGTCAATGAGATAAAGCCATATGAAGCTCTCGGTAAAAATTATGTTCTTAATATGATATGTAAACATTTTTCTGTTTTTTCTTCTGAATTATGTAAAGATCTAATAGTTGTAATTAAAGTTTCATGGTACTCTTCTGGTATCGGGACTGGATTCTGAAATATATGTACATGCATATATACATGCATGCACAAACACATACATTCATCCATACGTGCATACATATGTATATTTCTGAATCTGATCCCAATAACAGAACAGTAACAGTTTGATTACGGAATTAAAAATTTTAAGTCTTGATAAGGCTTAATTAGTTTCAGAGTTAATACAACATTTCATTGTAACATAATTACAGCTTTGTTTCTTGTCATTGCTGCAGATGTCACAAAATATTAGATTATTTAGACGATTAACATGTGCCATAAACTTGTGAAAGAGTTCATGGTATAAAAATTAGTAGTGTGATTGTTTGGTATAAAAAAGATTAATCTCTTAGTGAAATTTAAAAAAAAATAATTTCTCTGTAAGACTGAATGAAGCAGTAATATTAATATTTAATTAAAATATTTTTTCCCAAAATATTACCAGGGAATTAATTTTTTTTTCTCCTTAAATATTGACTGCAGAATATGAAGAAGGATTTTCTGATGCCTAATATGAGAATGAAGCATTCAACATCCAACTTGGTACAGCAGTTTTTTACAGATATGTCACATTAGCATGTAGTGGTCAAACTATATAATACAAGAATTACAACTTGAGGGAAAGGTTTTTCATCTAAATATTTTTCATCAAATATAATCAAATTTTAACTAAAGTACTACTTGTCCTTTTTCTTATTATATGGTTAAGTAAAAAATAATTTTTTAAAGTATGTGGTTGTGGTAGTTAAATCATTTTTCCAGCATTAAATAATAAAGCACAATTATATTTGTATTTTGATTTTTCATAATTAAATATATATTAAAATGAAAAAAATCATGTAATCACTCAAGTAAGATAAGAGAACTTCATCCTGTTCATGTTCTTATTTTATTATGTTTTCATTATTATGCTTAGCATTATTCAATAAATCTCTACATTTAGCATTATTGAATGATCCAGTTATAGCTTTCTGAAATTCAATCTCCTGGTTGCTGTGCATTTGAACATCAGTGGGATTATTTTTTTAGTCATATTAAAACTAATTAAACTAGGTGACTTAAAGTATGCAATTAAAAATTAAAAAAAATTATTCATTAGGTTGAGACTTTATTTCTTTCAATCAAACAAAGCAAGTTACTTAAATCTGCAGTATAAATGATTATTTATTAATAATATTCTGTTTCTCTTAAATATATTGTAATTATTTCAAGACTGAGGAAAATTTCTTTTTTTGTTGAAATAAAATTCTTGTTTTATTCTATACTTGAGGTAATCAAATGAATGTTAAATTTATGAAAAGAAATTTATTGAAGTATTAAAATGGATGATAAAATCACCACATTCCTCTAATTACTTTCTTGGCTTTTAAGTTTGGCTAGAGTTTTTACAGATTACAGTAAAAAAAGACATGATTTTAAGTTGCATTGTTTTTTAAACCCAAGTCCAAATATCTGAACTGGAAAAAAAAGTCTGAAGAATCAAGTTGTAGAAAGTGTGTTAAATCTAGTCATCGTGAAATCTTATTTCATAACAGTCATTTGTATTATTGGGCTGTGAGAGTCTTTTTTTTTTTTTTTTTTTTTTTTTTTTTTTTAACAAAATATTTTCTGTGTGTGTTGTTTCTTATGACTGTATCTTCAAATTTACTTTTATATATTGAAAAGCTACTCATTTAAAGGGAATCTGTGTTACAGTATGTGATATTTTAAGAAAAGATTTTTAAGAGTCCGTATTTTTGATACATTTTGTAGATTTTGTTCCAGTTTCTCTTATTTTTTTTTTTTTTTTAAATCAGTGATCCCTTTTTGTATTAGATTTTATTCTACACTTTAATAAAATTTTTGAATTACAGTCTATCTGATTGCTATATAACTTTCAAAGTAATGCAATTTTGAGGCTTGTTTTTAAAAGTATATTTAAATATATAATAATTTCATTGTTTTGTTTGTAGTTTTTTTTATTTTGATGATAAAATGATAAAATTGTTAGTTCTTTTTATAAAAGTGTGATTTTTCATATATAGGATGTTTTATGAATATTATTGTACCTGCTGCATTTTAGCAATTCATGAATCTAAGTTGTAAAGTTGTAAATGTAGAAATAATGCATTTGTATTAAGGCAGCTAATTTGAATTTGAATACTACATATCTTTAATTTGGATTAAAGAATTATTATTCTGTGTTCAAAAAGTTTATATATGATAGAATAATGAAATATTCAAATAAATTTATCATTCAAGTTTGATTTTGAAAATGTCTAGTACCTTTGGTGCATAAAATTTCATATTTGGTTATCCTAATTACTTTCTTGAAATATTAAATTTTCACTTAAAATAAGTATTTGTAATCAGTGTATTAAAATATGTGTTAAAATGGTGTGCTTTTTTTCAAACATTTTACTGAAATAACAATTTAAATTACTAAATTTAAAGTTTGTTTTACTTTAAATTGTTATTTTTAGTGTTAATTTTTCATTCAATTTTTCCTTTGTTGAATTATGAATGCCATTTTCCTTAAGTCTGGATTGATCAAATATGTGTATTCCATAATGCTTAAAAATGTGTGCCATAGTTTGTTACTTTTTTGAAGTTTCCTAACAGATAAGAATTTCTGTACAATTTTGCCTGTATGTCTAATGCTAAGGCATTTAATAATATCAAAGTATAGTACTTCAAACATTGCACACTTGTAAAGAATAATAAATAAATATATAAGTTTATTCATGGCATTTTGTGTTGCATCAGTTTTTAATATGAAAAAAAATTTCTAGTTAAATATTGATAATTAATAATGTTAAATTGTATTACTTTTTTTAATTAATTATTTTCAGATCAATAAAGTCAGTTTCAGTTTTATTCAGATTGAAAATCTTGAATGTTCTAGAATTCTTTCTAATGTTTTATAAGTATTTCATTTCAAATTACATCACATTTAGGGTTCCATCTGATATTAAATGTTAATTGAATATGGCAGTTAAAGTCATTTTATTTTATCTCATCTCAATCTGAAAGTCTTAATTTCATTCGTATTAGTAGTTCTTGGGTTTCCTGTATATATTATGTGTAGGACTGAGAAATATGTTGCTATATTTTGATCTTCTGCTCCTATGCACTGTTCAAAACAGTTAGGGATATTATGACTTTGGCTATAAACTGCGAATGAGGAGTAAATAGGAAATCTAAAATAAACAAAACAAAATCAGAACTACGCAGAGTTACCCGTAAACGGTTGTTCTGAATAGGCCCTTAACACTTAGGACTCCTATGTCGAGTGCGGCTCGGCATCGTATTTCTTACACAAACTCCTTTGTTGAGCTAGACTTGATTATACATTGTATTTTCTAAAATAATTTTAAATGTTTAAATCTATATTTTTTCTTTTCAAATATTTTGTAATATGCAAACAAAGTCTAAATTAATTATGTTTGACCAAGTTAGATGATTTAAAATTCTTTTTAATATTATTTTAACATATGTTGAGTGTGGCTCGACATCATGTTTCTTACACCAACTCCTTTGTTGAGCTAGACTCGACATTACACATGGTAATTTCTAAAATAATTGAAAATGTTTAAAACTGTTTTTTTTTTCTTTCAGATTTTTTGTACTACGTAAATAAAGACTAAATTTATCATATTTGACCAATTTATATAATTTTTATATTAGGATCAAAAGAGTCATTTCTAGTGTGGTGTAGTGGTTGAACACGCTACCCAAAGCCTCTGTTATATTTCAGAGTTGAAATGACTCCAAACTTAAGTTATAAAACAATAGCGAGAATTTTAAAGAAGTTAAGATTATATCAATCTGGTATGTGGATAACACTTAATCTAATAGTACTTCTAAACAGTTACAAATGTATTGTGCTAAAACAACAGCATATTCGGAAAGATTAGTCCGTGCTAAATCTCCTAGCACAACAAAATGCTCTAAGCAGAATGATGTTACCTCCAGTATTCCCGGTGGACATACGGTCTTCTAGCTTGGAAAAGTAGGCTCATTGAATGTGCAGATGATAATTTTGAACTCCTGTACTCACTCACTCACTGAACTATTCGGTGATGCTTTCTTGAAACAACTTTGTTTCATGATGTCCAAACCTCGACCTTCCCCGTCGCTTGCCATAGGCTAAATCATAGCGAGAATATCCCCTCGGGTAAGAAACAGGCACAGTTACAATCTCCAAACCGCATTCCAAGCCCTGTGCAAGAGTCCCTTTGTCTGGGAATTATATCCTTGGAGGGCGAGATGAGGAACATTTGCGTAACCTTGTCACAATAGTGTTGTCTTCAGGAAAGCAAGTTCCTGACGCTTTAGAGAAAAATCGTATATTTTGTCGTCTTTGATATTTTGTTTACATAAAAACACGTTTTAATTAAAATAATAATAATTGAACTGTTATTTATTTTATGTGCTAATAAGTATAAAAATATAGATGCCTTGAATCAAGAGAAAACAATCATTCACCTGCACATCACATCAATCAATCGTCCTGCACTATAGCTGCAGGATTGAAGTAAAAAAAGGCATATAAGTTAAAAGTAAATTGGAGTCAAAGCAATGCAATTCCTCAACAATATTAATAATTGCAACCGTGTACAAGAGGTTTAATAGAATAACAAAACAAATCAAAATTAAAATAAGAATTCAAAGTAGTATAAACTCGAAAAAAAAAAAAAAAATGCAAAAGGCAGAAAATATACAAGATAATAAAAATATAAAATTAAGCTTCTTTTGTTGAAACTCCAATTCAGAACTCATCAAGGGAAAATGAATTAAAGCTTCATAAAAGTCGACTACTATGTTTTAAAAACTTGTTTCGTTCTTCTGGTCGATTTGAGATCAGAAACCGAAAAAAGAATCAATTAAATTTTCATTTCAAATTCAGAAGCAAATACAAATAAAGAGCAAAACAAATATACTGTAAACCAAATTATCATTTAAACACCACTCAAAAATTGAATGTTTCCTGATTATGCAAATCTAAACTTTTAATACCAAGAATATGAAAAAACTTTTCAAAGAGATTTCTTGAAATAATAAAATCAAATCTGAGCCTCATTCAGCTAAAAACTTAAAACATATAGGAACAAAAATTGAAAGAAAGGCAAACTTATCTGAAATCTTAAGACAACCTTCTAAACGAAAATTGACAGAATTCTTCAGACAACCAAACTGGGTTCCTTGTAGAATTTCATAGCTGCTCTGGAGAAGCAAAAAATTGTAGTTATTGGAAAAAGTATGCGATAACATTCAAAGTGTCCAATAGCAGAACTAAATATTTAAACACATTCAAAATGTCCTATCCTGTTAAACTTTGTGTGCAGGGCCACATCAGATTTTTAGGTACTATATATTTCCTCTTAGTTACGATATTAAATTAACCAATTAAAGGACTTTAACACAACACAAATCAACAACCAAGCAAGATCTTCAACACGTATATTATTTGCAGCTGCCAAGATTTTCTCAAGTATTATTTCTATCTTCCTTCCTTTTCTCCTATCTTTTTTTTTTTTTCTCTTTTTCTTAAACGATTAAATAGAAAAGATACTTACAGAAAGAAACTGAAAAGGTAAAAAACAGATTAAATGCTAAAATATGGTAACAGAAGTTTAACACAGGACTGCCAAAAATATGAGATACAAATTACAAAGTATGATTAATTTTGCATTTAAAATCCTTAACTCTTGAAATCTATTAATTTCTATGAATGGAACACGTACTCAGTCTCCGCACTGATGCTCAATCCATTATGGTGTAATGCTCACGAGTGTTGCTTTCTTGGAGGCGGGAGCCTTTACTCCCCCGTCTGAACACAGCGTAAAGCTGTGTTCAGATGGGGGCGTAAAGGGCATAAGTGGTTAAAGCCAAGCTCCGTTGCCAAGGCAACCAGTCTGTGCTATGCCACAAAGTCAAAGCTGTGTTCAGATGGGGGCGTAAAGGGCATAAGTGGTTAAAGCCAAGCTCCGTTGCCAAGGCAACCAGTCTGTGCTATGCCACAAAGTCTGGTGTAGGTTTTGTGGCATAGGGTTCAAAGTTTTCAACTTTACGCCAAGTTTGGGATAAGCGTCGACCAATCAGAGCGAAGCTAAAACAAAGCGGTGTTCTGCAGAAGATTTTGCTGTCACAAAACAAGCAGAGCAAATGTGGGAAATCAATCGAGCAGGAGAACAGCGTGGGAAAGTTGTAGACACATCCACGCATGCGCAAATTTAGCTTCTCTCATTGGCCACGGCTTACACCCCGTTCTCGTAGGTGTGAATGGAACTTCCGTATTTTATCCCCTTATGACTATGCCTCAATGCCCTTTATGCCGCCATCTGAACGCAGCCTTAGAAGGAAAATGGTTCATACTCACGCCACACATGAGAAAATCATCGAAAAGCAAATGCACCTGTATCGTCCATCGGGATTCGAAACTGGACTTGGGTGTTAAGTATACGTTTTTAACAGGCGCCTGGGCAGAAGCCACATCCTGTGTAGAACATGCGAGAAAGTGCATATATTTTCTAGCATAACGTGATAAAGTTCTTCTACTAATCTTCAGCTATCTTATTCACCTGTTTGCTGGTAGACTACTGAACAA